TCACCAGCAACTTGAGTCTGGCTTATTGTTGGTGAACTATTTTTGGAGGCTGACCTTTAAACAAACACATTCGCTGGTTTATAAATCTCCTCACCTCTACCGACTTGACGGCTTGGTGTGAAATGCAGGTTAAGATTTATCTTCAAATTATCAGTGAGGTAAACTCAGAGAGCCCTGGATTTGTCAACGCTGACCTAAAAGCTATCAGGAGGATTATTAATGGCATGAAACAAAGTGAGAAACTACGGGATGAACTGGGCAGCGTTAGACCTTGGTCTCTGGTTGGTGTTTGTGACATTAAATTGAACCTGTTAAATATTGATGTTTCCCAAGCACAGGGTGTGACAAAGAAATTGTTAACTTGAGTCTTCTGGCCTTGAGATATGCAAACCGAAACAATAAAACCTATGCGGTGGAGCATAATTTACAGAAATATATTCGTATATGTTTCGATATGAGTTTTGAAGTGTTATAGTGAATAGTGATTACAAAAAAAATAGTTGGTTTTTTTTAAGCAATGATATCCTTTAAAAGTTATTAAATGACAAATAGTGTGATCGTTTATTATGAGAGAATGGGAGAATTTTATATGTTTGAGTATTTTTCATAAACATAACCAGAAATGCATACAGAGTCACGGCGTCATTAAGTGTACCAGATGACCATTGGATCCTGAAAGTGAACCGATAAACACCTGTTCAGTTTCAGGGGTGTAAAATGCAAAAAAAAAAAAAAGAGGATAGAGTACATGTGTGTGCATGTGTGAGAGAGAGAGAGTGTAGGGGGAGGAGAGACTGCAAGTGAGTCATATAACTGATTATACTTATCTCTTGAACTGGACACATCTCTCAGTGGCGGAGCGGACACACATCACACACACACATTCACCCAAATCCGATGTTTTTATCGTCATAAAAAAAAAACTTTTATTAAATTCAAAAACTTCAGTCTGTCGTCACTGACAGTTGGGCCGAGGAGAAGTCATGGATCCAATCGTGGAAGTGGTAGGTTTGATTTTGGGGTTCATCGGATGGATAATGGTGGGGGTTGCGCTTCCAAACCGTTACTGGAGGACCTCCACTGTTGACGGAAATGTCATCACCACCTCTACAATCTATGAAAACCTGTGGATGTCCTGCGCGACAGATTCAACCGGGGTCAGTAACTGCAGGGACTTCCCTTCCCTGCTCGCTTTGAATGGTATGCTGACAAAAATTTTTACTTCTTAATAATATCATAAGGTTTGGGAAAGTTGGATTCCATCAAATGTTTATGTTGCTTTGTCTGGAGGAGGGTTTCTGTCATAAGAAATGTATTAAAAGGATAACTTGAAGAGCTTAGATGTCCTATCTTTTGTTGTACTGTGGGTACACATTAAATCATCAATTCATCTTTGAAAAATCTGCTAGAATTAGTGGTTTTGTGTATCTATGCACTGTTTCCAGGTTACATCCAAGCGTCTCGTGCCTTGATGATTGCCTCGATAGTGTTTGGCTCATTTGGACTGCTGGGCTCGCTGATCGGGATACAGTGCTCTAAAGCGGGAGGAGAAAACTATGTTCTCAAAGGGAGGATCGCAGGCACTGCTGGAGTACTTTTTTTGCTTCAAGGTAACAAAAACATAGAAAATACAGTCTGTTCTTCCTGGCTATTCAGATAACAATATTGACCTCCTATTACACTACCCCTTAAAGAAGATAAAGAAACCTCCCCAGCATGCTGATGAATCGTGATAATGCCCTACCGCCCTTTTAGATCAATCCTACCTATTTTTGTTCTTGTTTACTTCAATACTTTGGATCAGAGTTAAACTCTGACCCGTCACTGTTTTATTGCTCACTAAAGACTCCCTGTTGTTGTTGTCCGTTTTTTTCTATCAAAAGGTCTGTGCACTATGGTTGCAGTGTCCTGGTATGCTTTCAATATCACTCAGAATTTCTTTGATCCCTACTACCCTGGCACAAAGTAAGTTGCTGTTAGTGGTGTGAGATAAACAGGCCTAAAGTGCAGTGCTGGCAGCCTATAATTTTGCTGTGTGTCACAGGTATGAGATAGGAGAAGGGCTTTACATCGGCTGGTGCTCTGCTGTGCTCGCCATCGCTGGAGGAGCCGTTCTCACCTGCTCCTGCAAATTGGGCACAGAGGAAAAATAGTGAGTTTGATCTCTTTTTGATGTACAGAGCTGGAGGAAATTCTCAGAGTCTACAGGTGCAATCTGGCCCGGCCATAAAACATGTTCTGGTTTAATTAAAATTGTGCTGAATGTTCTGTTATTAATGTGATACAAAGGGAGACGGATGGCTCTCTAGCGACTCACTGTGGCAACATGAACTTATCTCAAAGTGTCAATAGTTCCCACCCATCCAGGTGTCTTTGTCTCGACTGTGCTAAATGGCAGGTTTAAGGGGCTTATAGTAGGTTTATAGTTTATTTGGTAATTACCTGTCTCAATGGTAAACATAGGCAAAAGAACAAATGAAAATTGTATGAAAAGTTTTTGACCAACCTTCATTACAGGGACATCATAAAACACGGCATAGAAAAGATTTTAAATTTGTCTGTGGAGAGATCTCTGTTTGGAAGCTCCTGAGCAGGTCTCAGACTGCTCAAAGTGAATAACGGAGACGTAGCAATCAAAGATTTGAAAAAGAATTGAAATCCTTGGCAGAAACAGAAACAAAAACCCACACACTTCTTTATTAAAACCTTATTTTATTAGAAAGTCGGTAAAATTGTAAACTTTTTAAATCAGATTAGTGATTTATTTTTCTATCCAGGTAATCATAAGAATTAAAGTAGATCTAAACTGTGCTTTAAAAAGAAACAATGCAAACACATTACCAAGATGGCTGCCTAGTGGCAAGAGCTCATGTCCCTGATTAGAAAATTGGCTCCCCCCGGTGGTCAAAAAAAGTAGTAACTAGATTATTCACAAGAATTTTACTCACTTTACACTGACCATAGCCTTCTTATATTCACTTCTGATAGGTGCACTGCCACTACAAGGATAACTTATTCTAACACTATTCTAAAAATTTTAATTTTCTTGCTGAGACTCTGAGTATATGATGTGCAGCATGCTTGGGGTGATTTGTATTTCCACCATCTGATCCTGACGTTTTCTTTCTCTGCAGCCCTCTACCTCATGCAAGGGGAACTGTGTATTCTGGACCAGCACCAACCAGAAGCCTGGCCGCCAGTACTTATGGGAGAAACGCTTACGTCTGAGCAGGATTTGGAAACTCAGCTTTGTGGACTTATTCATCCCTACACTTTTGGCTGGTCTAACTAACACGTTGTGCCATTTCATCACTGTGGAAACACTTGCAGTGCATCAGATGTTCACTGTTGGGAGTATTTCAGCTGTATATGTTATATACAAATAACCGCAGTTTCAAAATGTATGTTCTGTAGAAATAACATGGATAAAATGATTGCAAAAAGCTTGACAAAACATCAGCGTCACTGCACAAACTCACTGTGCGCTCTCAATGATTAATATTTATATTTCTCTGATATTGTCACTTATTTTCCAATTAATTCAATCACATTTGTAAGGGGAAGGTCAAAAGTGTGATGATTGTTTGGATGTGTTGTTTTGTACAGTTTTGTAGGCGACACCTGCAAGAGGCGCTGGAGGGCAGGTTGTCTTTGTTTTGATTGTATTTTGCCTGTTTGTTTGTTTTTGGGTTTTTGTTGTTGTTGTTGTTGTTTTGGGGGGGGTAAGCAAATGTACAAATTTAAATGTTTTACATCGAACATTCCAGTTTTACTTACCACAGACAAAAACAGTGGTGGCTGTATTCTTCCTTTTTTTAATAAAAAATAAAATTAAAATTAAAAAACCATCAGCCAGGCGCATGATTACAGGTCATCAGGACATGATTTGGGTAAAATATTGTGGGAAATCATCAACAACCTGTTCAGTGTCTGTGTTCAGAGTAAAGACTGATTGCAAATGTTATATTTTCGTCAAATTACACATTTTTACTATTTAAATTTGGTGCTAAAAGCAGCAAATTCAAATGTCTTTATGTGTCAAATAAAGACTGTATTTTGTACAACTTACTTATGAAGTGTCATTAAAGTGGCGGGAAGCAGCACCGTAAACAGTGCGTGACGGCAGCTCACATGATTATTAAATAAAGATGATAGGGAAGAGTCACTGGGTGGTCACCTTATCCCGTGGTAAATGTATGCAGGTGGAAGCGGTCTCAACCAGGAGGACAGCGACTCCATTCACAGGACACATCGACCACCGAATGATTGAAAATCATGTGACTTGTGTGCCTTTGATAGCACCAGGTCTCAGCTCAGCAACTTCTTGTTCAGTTTGTTAACAAAACACAAGAGGAGAACACATCTTATGTGAGTTGGTGTGTGTGTGTCCACCGGTTCAAGGTGAACTCAAGCTGTTTTGGTGAAACATGGCTGCCCAGCTTCTTACTAAGACTGTTAAAATGCTCGATAGTGCAATTATCTGCTGAAGCTTAACCTCGG